ACTGCGACTGCGACTGCGACTGCGACTGCGACTGCGACTGCGACTGCTGCTGCTGCTGCTGCTGCTGCTGCTGCTTGTCAACAAGTCTCATTGGAATCAAGCCAGGCTCCTATGCAGCGATTGTACTTTGAACCTTGGAAAGTGACGGTCGAAAAGAAGCCTTCATTGAAGGTACCGTATGAAAAGTTTTGCAGGATTTTTTTGCAGACCGCAGTTCTTGCAAAACGTTTGTACTTATATTTCCACCAGCTTCAAGGAAAGCATTCGATCTTGTGGCAAGATTCGAGACGACATTCTGACACAGTGGCACAAGCTGGGCCTTCAGGCTTGCATCACTTTGTCTCTTGCGTTGAACAAGGGAACTTTGGCTGGAAAATGTTTAGCAGTTTAGCATAACTTTTTGCAAACAAAGATTTTGACAGGAGAATTGCAAACTAACTTCTGACAGACTTGGCTCTCTGTCCCTGTTGGAGTGGAGTTGGATTCGAAGTGATATCTTTGAAGACACAATTCAAGTTCTTAAGATATGTTTGTATTGTGGTGCGCTTAACCTTACCTTCACCACCAGGTCACTGATGACAATTTGGCAGAGGAGGCCAAGCGTGAAGTGCTCAGCACCGCTTGGAACAGCCTATTTGAATGTGTGAAGAGATGTCTGGGGCTGTTTTTTCACGCAATTGCATGGGGCAGCACAAGTCCCATGTGGCGGGCGACAAGGCATTGATATGACCGAAAAGGCTGCATTTTGCCAGCTCATGGGCAAGTTGGCTGCAGTGAAGTGCGGTTTGGTCAGGATGGCCCACTTGGCTCGATTCTCACAACAACAACTTTGCTGTCTAGGCAAAATTCTCAGACATGACACACGCGAAGGTATGCCATCTCCAACTCTTGCTCTCACAGGCCCGGTCTTATACCAAGCTTAAAATGGCGGCTTAGCCTTTTGCTTTAGTCTATTGAAGGCTATAAAGCTCAAGCTGACTCAAGCTGTTTTGTCTTTTTTCTTTCTTTTTTTTACCGGAGACATTCCTTTTAGGGAAGCGCTGTGAGCGAGCTTCGCAGGTGGGTCTGCTGCCAAAGCGCAGCTTCAGCTGCCCGATGCCGAAAAGGTGGGGAGGGAGAGTGCAGGGAAGGCTGGAAAGATTCTGACAAATACAGATGAAACCAAGAGAAAGCAAACATAGCGTCTGTCGTACACGGAAAGTGGTATGAATGATTTTATTGCCAGTCTTACCTGGAAGTGTAGAACAGTAAATCAGTAAATCAATTTGGTGTACTCAAAGCCGCAAGGGTTGGACATGTAGACCTGGAGGTTCAAATGTCACAATCTCCTCGCAGTGATGCTGGATCACCTGTCGAATTGGCACCAGCACCGCTAGTTGAGGAGCCGGGGTGACCTGAGAATTTTACAGAAGTATTGCAGAGAAGAAAGTACGTGGATTTTGACTACAGGAGCTGAAGTCAAAGGACAAGGCCAATGAGAGCAGCGAATCTGGAGATGACTTGGCAGAAGTCTTTCGATAGCCGAAGCAGTTGATCAATGTGGTGCTCCCCACGCTCCCCACCATGTTCAAGGATGATCAAAATGTCGCCAATGCCGAAGATGAAGACGAGAAAGATCGGACAGAAAAGGAGTTTAAACTGAACTGCATCTCATCCATCCTGATAGGCAATGTAGCACATGCGAGAATCATCCTGGAATTGTTTGTCATTGGAAGAGTCTTCGATTAAGTCTTCAAGCTTGAGGCTGGCCGTTGCCTGTGTAGCGGTGCAGCTTACCATCGAGTCCCGCAGCGAGAAGCTTCCACGCCAGAGCTCAAGCAGAGAATCAAGTATGGTCCAGACTGGTGGTTCTGATGCGCGCATGAACAGGTGTCGTCGAGAATGCAATGTACATGAGCTGCCTTGGCATTTACCTGCAGGCAGGAAGCTGTCAGAGTGTGCAACGCTTGCTTGGTACGGTCCAGAGCCTCAAGCAGGCAATCATTTGCATCGTCACTCCGTTCATAACCAACGCTGAACTGAAGGCAAGCCATGCTTTGCTTACGGGTCTTACCTACGTGAAAACTCTACCCTTTGTGTTTCAGTACACTGATTTGCGCAGGTTGTCCGCGGGACGGTGGACACACCCGATGTAGTAGACTTTGCAACCGCTCACTCGCAACTGTGGGCGCCCTGCATGGTTGCTTCCTTCAATCTTGACAGCATCATTTCATTCCCAGGTTCAACTTGATGAGCGCTGCACGTTGGATTGCCACAGCTGTTTTGTGACCCTGTTTCCGTGAAAGGCACAAGTTTGGAAAAGGCTATAATAGCTTCTTATTTCTTCTGGCTTCTTGTTACTAGTAGTGAGGCACTTGTTACTAGTAGCGATGCACTTGTTACTAGTAGCTTCTTGTTACTAGTGTTGGATGTTCCAATGGACAACTTTTGTGGGCACGCGAGGTATGGCGGGGTCGCTGTCACTTGCAGCTACCTTTGGGGTGGGATGCTGAGCTACTCTTCTGAATCTTTGTGGACAACAAGTGCCACGTCGCAGGTCAGAAATATGAGCCTGCATGGGCCATTCTCGTGATCTCGGCAGAGTTATTCCTCATGGTGATGCTGCATTCAATTCGATCGTGTGAATAACGCAACATGCGAACAGCCAGGTGATGCATCTTATCACATACTTTTTTATTGCAACCCGACTGCAATACACATCATTTGCCCAGTTGACAGAGCCCCTGGACCAAGGTTCATTTGTTCTTGTGGCTATGCAACACATTGAGGCTCAGACGACACTGTAGATATAGTGCCAGTTTGCCGGTTTGCAGGGGTCTTGGAAAAATGCAGTCAGGTCCTTCTTGAGTGGCGGATTGATGGACTCTGTCAGGACTGCTCTTCAATGTATATATATATACAGTGACATATGACATATGTATAATAAATAGATAAAAAAATACATACATACATTAAACAAACACATATATATATGATATGACATGATATGATATATTATATGAAAAAACTTTCATTTCAAGTTTACAGCATCACCATCACCTGCAGTGTGATCATTGTCGCTTGAGTTCATTTCTTTGATGAACGAGCAAACAACTCTGCGGAAAGACACACGAAGGCTTCGAGAAAGGCCTTTCAGTGTCCTTGTTCGTAGTGGTAGCTAATCCAAGATCCAAGGCCGGCCTCAAAGGGAACTTGGAGAAGAAACACAAACAAACTAAGTGATGGAGTTTAAGGTGCAGAAATGAGTAGCCAGAGACTTACTGTAGGTGCGTGAGCGCACGGCGTGGTTACAGATTCAGAGCAAGCAATCATTTACGCAAGTGTTAACGGTCAGCAAGGAAACCTTTGCGACCCACTCCGTGGATAGCATCGCAGATCATCTCACATCACGCGTTTGTCAAGCCAACAACTTCCTTCGGGTAAATCAAACTTGGCCTTCCTGGACATGGCTCTGCTTGATGTATACGTGGTCAAGAAAACAGGTTAAAAGGAGGTCAAGAAAACTATTTTATCCGACTTCGGGGTATTGAAGTCCGAGACTTGCAACTAGCAGGACTAGTAAGGCCTGTGGGAGACGGGCCTTAGAACTGTTTTTTTTTTTGTCAAGCTCATTCAAGCTGTCCTGGTCAAGGACATTGACGACTGCAAAGGAGCCGATTGACACTGCCACTCCTTGCAACACGAATGCCAAAGCGGTAGTTGACTTGTGCAGGACGCCGTTTCCATTTGCCCAATGCTGGCTGTTCTGTTTATTGAATGCTGGGTCACATACTCAAAACAACCCAAAGCTCTCTCCGTTGCTTGTCCTTCCGCTTCAGTCGGACGCTGAGGTAGCAGCACTCGATGTGAAAACAAAGGAGGGCATGCAGGGCGCCCAGTTCATGTAGCGAAACCGAGATGCATTTGGAAGATATTTCGCAGAGCTCAAAGTGGCCATGGGCAAAAGTCCCTCAGGAGAGGAGTACCTCAGGGGTACGCTCAGGACAGACAAGACTTCCAGAGGCTTCCAGGCTTCCGCTCCCTGACCTATAAACGATGTCTCTGCTCTGCTCCGCAGGACTATATGTTTGTGGCAACATGGGCTTTGCTGATGCAGCTCATTATGGCGCATTGCTTAATTGAGGTCACACCAGTATTCAACCGTACCTTTGAGCGTACGCAGCCATATTGCAAATAGAAAGTACCAAGCTTTTCCGAATACAAAGTCTTTTTGATTGCCTGATTCTGTAGTGCTTCGTCAACGGCTTTATCTTCAGTCTTCCGAAGGACCTGAAGGTGCCACGGCTTGCACTAGTTGATCGTGACGAGGGATTGTTGATGCAAGCTGGATTATTTCACAACTGAAGGTCATGCGCGTTTGCGGCAATTCAGTAGGAGGAGGCCTGCATTTTGGATTCGAGCATGTGTTGCCATCATACCGAATGATGCCCCATTCGTTCGAGGATTGAGTGCCATTTGGTTTGTCTACTACTTGGCAATGGCCCGTGGCTCAAACAGCCTGGAGTCCCTGGGAGCACTGGACAAATGCTCTTCCAGGTCACTGTTTATGCCTCAATCTTGATTGCCTTGGGCCTTAGACATGGCCTTTCTGCACAAAAAGAATTGCTTCTGGCTTTGGGACTTTCAGCAACAGCACTGTAATGTTCCAGGTGTTCATGGCGCGGTACACCAACAATTCGGACACCGCCACAGGTTGGCGGCTCAAGAGACAGGGATCCAACGAAAAAGCCAGAACGATGCAAGAAGAACACCTAGAAGACCCTGGACAGCTTGCCCAGATTTTGTAACTCATGAGTGGAACTGGGCCACCTAGGGTGAAATGAGCAAAGATGTGCTATGCTATGATGCATTGAGCGTTTGACGTTTTGTCCCTTATTCATGGGTCTGCTTGGGAAGAGGCTTTAGGCTTTGTGCTTGCTGCAATTATGTGATCAAGTTGTATGAAGGCAAGACCCCAGCCAGGATCGTATTCATCATGGTGGGTGGAAAAGAGGGATGCAGGAATAAGAGGGATACAGGAATAGTGTAAACAAAAGCTCAGAAGGACTTCATCATTATTGGAGTATGAAAAAGCCAGAGACCATTAGAATTTGACAAAGCAAGTCCGTTCTTTTTCATTTCTTCCTTGCGTTTGCTCTGAATGAGCCGCTGCTGACGCTGGCGCTTGCGAGAGGAAGGGAAGTAAATCTTGACAGGGCCAACAAAGGATCACTGACAAGCGCAAGAAGCAAAAAGCAAACACACAACGTTTGGCGCCTGAAGGCAACCAAAAGATTCCACCACATGCTAGCAGTCAACCCACAGGTAGGCAACCCCAAAACTGGGCCATTGCACCGCTGCCAAGACTCCATGGATCTCAGCACGTGGAACCGCGCTCTACTCGCAAGACCCCCAGCTGCACACAACTGAATCCTAAAAGCAAGGACAGCCGCCCATGAAGCTAACGCCAGCTCCAGGTTGTCTTGATGAATGCCACTTCCGTCAGTGAAGACGTGCCACACATCAGAACAAGGGGGATCAAAACGGAGGTCAATGCCAAAGACCTTGAGGTACCCGCCCTTGAACGGAATCGCACTTATTGTGAGGCCGTGCAGCGCCAGAGAATCCGTCAAGCACCACCTGTCACGCCATTCAACTGCCCCTTGTTCCCTTATTAGGAACGGATATGCAGAGCGTGTTGGATAGAAACTCCAGAAGTACAAACCAAACCATGAAGCGGTTGCCCTTGAAACAAAACTAATTAGAGACCTGATCGGTGTTTAAGGCATCACGACAAGGCAAATTTCTGATGCACTTGTGCAAGAAATGACTTTTGTCTCGCGTTCGGATCATTTTATTTTGATTATGCGAGTAGGCCATGCGCAGGCGTATAGTAAAATCAAAATCTATGATCAAGTCTGGAAGAGCACCGGAAAACTCCGGAGGTGACGACGGATCCAAGACAGGGAAGGCAAACCGGGTATGTTTGGCCCGGCAAATCACGATATGATTGCAAGAGCGATGCAACCTCATTAGCTTTATGATAACAAGGACGATGTGGCCATCCTCCAACATATATATGTATAGATGAACCGAAGCTTGTAGAGCTTGTTTTGGAATAAGTCCGAAACAGATTGCCAGGTGCATATTTGGAAAGATACCGCGCAATTTGGCGAAGTCCATCAGCTTAAACTTTCAATGGCGGTTTATGTGGGGGCTGCAATTGCACCTTATCAGCTCCTTTGGTAGACAAAATGTCTTGTTCGTTGGATGCCACCATCTGAAATATTGGAAAAATGCAAAGCACGGAAGCCAACATCAGCTCCCCACGAGCACACGGGTGAAACCGAATGGCCGCAGCAGGTGCTAATCCTGGTTGGCGCAGCGCTGGGTGTTAGCAAAGTTCTGGCCAAAGATCACGGAAAGCCCATGGATTGTCCGTATAGCCCCACAGATTTTCAACGGACCATGAACGCTGGCTCTAGGGTGGGCAAGTCATATCCCAATGCGTCAGGGAAAAGTTAAAATCGATCAGTGGGAGATCAATCAGCGCGTCTGAGAGAGCCGTGGCTCGATCAATCAGTGGGCAATCCGTGTCACCACCTGGGATTGTTTGATCTGGGGCAAAGGTAGTCATCGGTTGTCCTTTGCTTGTCATGAATGCAGCCAACTCCATAGCCAAATCAAACCGTCGCAGCAAAACCAAGATTCCTCTCACACAAAGAATACATCCAACGCAGCTCAAAATTAATTCCAGGCTGGCTGGAGGTGACATCAGCTCAAAGTCAAGTCCACAATGTCATCCTCCAGCTCGGCAAGTTGGTCATGCTGTGAGACAGTAGTGGACATGAAGATCTCTTTCAAGTGTGATCAGCGTAAGCTGACAGGTCATGGAGTCTTCACCCTCAGAGGGTGTGCTCGGTCGAGATAATTGTTCTTCTGCCATTGGCACTGCATGTGTAGGGTGGCGCTATGCAACTCTCCGCACACTTTTCTTTCCTTTGAGCCAAAGTTGCATGGTAATCATGTTTGTGTGTGCAAACAATAGCAGCCAGGTAGGAACTAGGGTCTCGTTGACTAGCCCTACGGAAAGGACACTAGGCCCCAGCCGGGAAGGCATACGGTGGCACTCTAGCTTGTTCTATGCACTTGCAACAGGCTTGGCACAAGGCAGGATCCTACTAGACCCACTACCTGACAATGAGGATGGCTCCTTGCAAGCTTCCCAATCACGATGTGGCATCTCGCATCACCGAGTGTCCAACACCACACAAACAAGACAGAGCGAAACCACAGCCGCCTGTCTTCCAAATTGTTCCATAGCCACCCCAAACAAAGATAGATAGGCCCAAACGAAAGGCTCTCATCTGTCCCTGAGTCACTGATACATCATGGAAAGCAAAGTCTTCGTCTGCATCAATCAAGATGTCGTTGTCCTCCCCACTAGGCGTCCACCATTCCCAGTCACTGGAGGCTGGAAATCTTGGTTCATGAGCTTCTTGCTCCTAGTAGTAAGGCCAGGAGTGCCTAGTAGCTTCTTGTTACTAGTAGCGATGTTAGGAGCCCCTAGTAGCGTCCTTGCTCCGAGGAGTTTCTAAAAGCAAAACGAATTTGTTTGCTCCTTTGCATCGACACTCCACAATGGTCATCGGGAACCCCCACTCAATCCATGCCCCAATCTGATTGGAACCTTCACCAGACTAGCTTGACTGTCGTCCAAAGGATCCTCTCGAAAAAGGCAAAGCATGTAGTCCCTGTCACATGCTCACCTGATGAGTTGCATGGAGTACTGAGACGGATGTCTCATCATTGATTACCTCCCAAGTTGCTCTGGAAACGATCAGAAAACCTTCCTTAAGTCTGTGATGGTCGCACGCAGGATAGACAACTCTATCAGAAAGGAATGCTCCTGGAAACTGACCTGGTGGGTCAACAATCTTGCACTTGCATCTGCCACCGAACCCAAGGCCTTCAAAGACCCGATGAATTTCCAACCAAAAACTTGTCGGTTGTCTCATGCACGGACACACCAAGATCTGAGTTCTAAAAGACTTGATTCTCTGCACGATTTCTTGCTGTGTTTGGAATGGAATGTCCTCTGGAAACGGTCCAGGATGCGCAGCCTCACCAACACGACATGCTCCCCAGGGATTATAGCAATCAGCCCAACGGCCGAAAAGGAAACGTGCAACGACAACGACAACACACAACTCCAAAAGACCACAATAAGCAGATAACGAAACTAGGCGACACCTACATGAGAACGGTAGCCCCTGATCACGATTGGAAACAGAGGCTTCATTGTGCGAGTCTTCTCATCATACAAGGGCATTGAACCGAAGGTCTAGATGAGCGTATTGGCCACCAGCAGCAAACGGTCTTGCCTCAGGTTTTGCCCACAAAGAAAAAGGTGCCTCCAGTTCCACATGAAAAGCTGAAGCGCATCATCATTAGACAATCGACTCCATGTTCTTGCTTCTGCAAACATATTGTGTTTGAACCTCAAGCTGTCCAGCATGGATTGGCAATGGGCAACGCACGATCTGAAGGTAAGAGGAAACTTTAAAGCAGATGCTCCATCCACACAAGCCTTCAACAAGGGAGTCCTGCGGCGAAACATTACTTCTGGCTGTGAAAAAGTGCAAGGTCATATTTCTCAAAGCATACACGAACATGTTTTATGATTTTTAGGGCACCAGGATTTATTGCTCTATATAGAAGGGAATTGAACCGAAACACCAAGTATGGCCCTGTGTCAATGCAAGGTCCTGCTTTTCAAAACGCACACGGCAATGCTGAAGTTCCGCATTTCTGTAAATAAATAGCGGCATTTTTGTGAAACGCTAGTTTTTGGCTGTGAAGATACAAGCTCGCTTTCCTCAAAACAAAAACAAGTATATACATTTATGCTTTGAACTTACAAGTATTTTTTTGGGTGATACGTGGAAATACACGGTTGTTTTCTTCAAAACATATGCGAGTATGGTTCAAGTTGCAGGAAGGTAATTTTGTAATACCAGATATACTGTCGAATTACACCGCAGTATTTCTGTAGGGTATTTCTGTATATACATAGGAGGCTTTTTGGGCTAGCGCTGAATATGTTAGTGGTAATACACGGTCGTGTTTCTCCGAGCAAAAACAAGTTTGTTCCGAATCACACATGGGGCTTTCTGTAAATGCATGTAGGCTTTTTGACCAAACACTGAGTATGCGTGTGTAAATACATGGCCCTGTTCTTCAAACAATACGAGTACGTTTCAGATGTCGTGGAGGTATTTCTGTAAATACATACCGGCATTTGTTGTTCCTTTCAACGCACAGGATTCTGTTAAGTAAAGGACGGCCGCTTGCTGTGAAACATGTTGACATTCATCGGCTGGAGTGACCTTGCCATCTTGCATCGCAGTCGTTTGCTCAGAAGCCTTGAAACTTAGTGCCCCGCTTGACAATATCATATCTTATACTTAGGCAAAGCTCTCCGACGCGTAGGGCAAGAGAGTTGCCCCGCGATCCTTTGTCTCCCCGCTTGTCTCCATTCTTGTTGCTCCACTGGCAACCTGTCACGATGTCGGCGCTTGTCTCACAATGGCATCCTGTGGATCGGATTCCAATTCCCTGAAGTCTTCTCAGTATGCCATGATCAGATGATCATGATATGATTTGCTCGGTGAACCTTCAATGGTCCTCATCTCCTTTCTCACACATGCAACGGCATGTTTCTCAAATCGTGCGCTCGTATTTCTCGAAATGCACAGATGCTTGTGTGAATGCTTTCGGAAAGGCCGAGCTTGACTTCGGAAATGCAACGTCATTTTTCTCAAAGCACACGCTGTGCATGTCAACACATGTGGGCATGGTTTTGACAAGACAGAGTTAGACTTCGGAAATTCATGTCATGTGTCTGAAAGCGGGACATTTGTATCACAGATGATTTTCTGAGAACACAACAGCTTTTAAAAGGACAGGACAGGTTTATGCCCGCGAACATCCCAGGTGTACTTCCTCGCAATGCACAGGTGCGTTTCTTTGGAGAATGTAGAGTTGCGTCTTTGAACGCACCACGTCATACTAGAACGCATGCTTGTATTGTTGAACTACACCACACACTAGACGCACAATGGTATGCCTGACAAAACAAAGTTGTGACATTGGAAGTGCACGGTCATGTTTGTGAACACATATGGTTGTATTGATCAACGTGTGGCACAGGTGCATTCTTGAAAATATAGAACATATGTTTTCGAGAAGGCATACACATGCCTTCTGACATGCAACCTCATGTTTTTGAAGTTTGGAAGTTGACACTCGCAGCAGATGCAGCTCGGAAAATGTCCGAGGGCATGCTATTGAAAAGGCATAATTATGGTTTTGGAATTGCAACATTGTGTTTCTGCTTGTGTATGCGATGGCTGCCATGGCTGCTGAAAGCAAAGCAACTGAACAATTGCTGTTTGGGGTCAATGCTGGTGTAATGTATATACTGTATATATACACTGTATATATGTTAACACATACATATACGCATATAGTTTCAAACCATGAGAACGCCCAATTGCCTCTGCCTGTCCAATGAATGCCCTTATTTGTATATATACACTTGACTTGTTTTGGGTTTGCTCATGTCATTCCAAGGTGATGGAGCTTGGTTTAAGACCTTGAATTCCCTCTGATATCGAAGTAGTGCCCTGAAGTGCACTGATGCCATCTCAGGAAAAAGAGTTCAGGTCTTGCAGCTGGCGCTTTGACAGACACCTTTCGTTTCGGCATTTGTTGCAACTTGTAAACTCATGCTTCTTCTCCGGCCCTTTTTTGGACTGCTAACTTTTGGGCTCAGTCTCTTGAGTTGCCAAGTTGGAGGCTGGGAAGGAGCGAAGGAGCACCTTGGGGAATGATTTTTTTCTTTTTCCTTCCTTGGATGGGTTTTCATTTGACCCCAGGATGAAGCTTCGGCGGAGTTCCTGGCTGGCACGTGCAGCCGGGCTTCCAGTTGTGCCAAAAAGGTTACAGTCCTTTTAAGTTTATTGATTGTAAGTGCATTGTACTTAGAAGACTTACACATTCCACCCAGGCAGTTTTGTTTGCCGCGGCAGCAACATGGGTGTGCCAGTCAGAAGAGTGAAGCGGAAGGGATCCAGTTTGGAAACACTTGGCTTTTAAGGGTTAACATGTCTAACAAAAGCTTCTTGGCGCGTGCTTGGCTTCTGATTCAGTTGGCGACCCATTTCCAAATATGCCCACCAGTTGCGCCAGTCTTCCACGTCCTTTTTGCTGCTTCAGGTCCTTGGCCAGAACTGGCTCTTTGTTGGACCATTTTCAACGTCGCTGGCTCCGCCGGTCAGAGACTCAGAAGCAAAGCTGCGAAATGACCTTTGCACTTTTGTATTCCTGTTTGAGCACCCTATGGAGGCTAATCCTGCGCAGAGAGGCCATAATGGAACATATCCACCCGTTTTGCACTTGCACACTTCCATTGTAGCAATATATATATATATGTGTTTTGGAGGCCAATCGGTGAGCAGGTATGCAAGAGAAGTTGATGAGGAGGACGCCGAGCTTCAATGCCATGCTGCTCTCAGTTTGTACATTGTACATTCATGGCCGCAGTGACTTCTCCTAGGAAGTGCTTTTCAATTTCAGAAAACCCAAGAAGAAGGGCTTTGACCCAAACTGGAAGGTGCAGCGGCATGCGTCTGCTGTCATTATATTTTGCTTTATATTGCATTGCTTTGCACAGTTTGTATCTCGATTTTGTTTTGGATGTTTTGCAAAATGGAGTCCTGTGCCAGCGACCCTTCCCGAAGTACATTCTGATGGGTGGCGTCATGATGACCTTAATCGGCGGAGTGCTGAGTCGCACAGCATGCGGCGGAATGCAACTGTATCATCAAACATGTCATGCGTATATATATATATATATATGTATTCACAGGATTTCACAGGTGCTTTGTGCTGCTTCATTGAATATGCTATTCTTCCTCAGGCTACCTGGGAGGAGGGCATCAACCTGAGAGGGCTCTTCGTTTGGTTTGTTTTGTCGATTGAAACGCACGTACCATCCCTTGATAAATCGTGTAACACCAAGTTGTTTTGTTTGGTATCAACCTCGCACACCCTACGATGCATTGAATATATATTACAAACGCCAGTGAACACTTCATTTTCGCATGCAATGCCAGACACAGAGGTATAATATTGAGACCGACGTTTGATTGTTTGTTTGCTTGTTTGTTTGCTTACTGTATCTCTCAGTGGTTTTCCGCCAGTCCGTAAGTCTCCAGTCTGTCGCGTGTTGCGCTTCCCAGCGCGCGCCTTTCCCTTGGCCCCACGGGCCTTGAGGATATTCACGCCGCTCCTCGGCAAGGCCCGCCCGCACCGCCATGAAACAGTTGCGCAACAATAAGGGCGAAAACTGTCACCCACACAGCCTCGAAATCAGAAAAGCCCTACAAGTCAATAGCGAGTCGGATGAGTGATGGCATGACGCAACAACGATCGTAGAAGGTAACATGCCAGAAGTATGCGCTATCTTCATTCATCACCATATATCACAAGGGTTCATCATGTTGCCACTTAGTAAGTGTGGATCCAAACAGATTGTTGTGTTCAGCTCCCGCTCCCAGCAGCATCTGCCGAAACACCGTTATTGGCAGTGTTTTCATACACCGGAAAGCAAAAGCCACTAGAAATAGAGAGATTTTTGAGGTTGACGTTGCCGAAAACCCCACTATGTACCGTATTTTACAGTGGTTTTATGCTCGGTGAGGGAGAAGCCACTGCAACTAGCGATGTTTTTGAGCTTGCCGTGGCCCAAAGCACCGCCATTGACCGTGTTTTTGAACCTGCTGTCCAAAAGCACCGCAGTTTGCGACGTTTTCAACGACATGGTCGCCAAAAGCACTGCTACTTGCAAGGATTTTTACATTTTCGCGCAAAGACGTCAAGCCTCGGCAATGTACAAAAGCACTGCAAAAACCAATGTTTCTGCCCAACAAAAAACGGCGAAGGCCGTCACCCAAGCAGCTCCGAAATCACAAAATCTGGCACCCCGGCCTCCCGACAAGGCACATGAAAAAACGCATCTCAAGACCAACAGTTTAAAAAACAAAAGCACACACACTTTTCTCTTGCCGGTTCCGGGCGGGCGCGTGCACTAGTCCATTCCGTGCTGTAAAAGACACAGTTTTTTGAAGTCTGCCGTCGTGACCTAGCAAAAACCCATTACTTTCACCAAAAAAGTACCGTACAGTTGTTTATGCCATCCGGATGATCACGCCCTGAGCACCTTCGGTGCGGGCGGATTTGCATATTGCAGTATGTAGAGAAGCAAAGCTGGATTAGGAAAGGAAGGTAAGGGTTCTGAAAACATTTTTTCGAAGGGGTTCTACCTTGCCTTTCTAACTTGCTGCAGCGTTACTCATACTCTATTCGCACTGTCCAAGGCCCATTCTATCGGCAGTGTGGGGCTTGTGCGGCGCTGGGTTCGGGTGCTTTCCTTGGAGCCCTCTGATAGCACTTGCCGCGTGCAATTGCAAACTCCCTTGCCGAAGTGCCGAAGGTGCTTGTTTGAGCCTTGGCAGACCCCAGATGGAACGATCAGTGGCCTCTACGATGAAGATGAAGAAGACGAGGATGAGGACGATGACGACGACTGAGCTGCAACTCGGCCCTCCCTAAGTCACACAACATTGAAAATCATAGTTGAACGGGCAAGTGTTCTTGGAGCAGAAAACCGAGAACAACAGCCGTTTGGGTGATGGCCTCGGGAGTGTTGGCGGTGGTATTTCCGCCTCCAAGCCTTGCTCCGTATGTTGATGCACAGTGAAGTATTTTGATATGTGAGGTGTTTGAGGTTTGACGCCATTTTTGGACTCCTTTCCACATTAAGGGAAGTGCACATTGGATACATCACACACCCACCAGCTAGTTATGGATGAATTGATGGTACTTGATGGTATGTGTACATGTAAAGCACAGGCCACGTGGAAGCGTCAGTGTTCTAGCTTTCTAACACCCTGATACTCTGAAGTTTATTTCTGTGTACGGACCCAGACCTGCTCTCGTCTTTATTTAAGCTCAGCCCTGGGCTTGGTTTGGGGCTTTGATTCAGCTTTACCCGGCTAGCCTCCCAGCACCTGAAGTTCAGTTTTTCACCGGGCCGAAGGTAACTGTTTTGAAACTGCTTTGCATTCTCAAATCTACACTTGCGCCCCCCTAAGCATCTTGGACAACACAACAGGAGATGGGCTGCAAAAGATCGTCCCCTCGAGCACACCCCAAACAGCACTGTACAGAGAGGATCAGAGAGATGCCAGCACAACTCGTCTGAGAAAGACTGGAACACAGACACACACACACACACATAGGCATTTTTCTTCATAGGTCGCAAGCTCCATCTCCATGAGGACAATTGTGGAGGATGTCAATTACACTCTTGGCATCTCTTGGCATTCACAACCGGTCGGTGATAGCTTCTTTGCTACTGTACACATGCATTTTTGTAGGCTTGTTCTTGAACAGGTATTGATTCGCACTTTTGGTGACAACTTTTCTGCTTGAACAGGTTCCTGATTCTTTGTGGTAGATACTTCATTTTGCAGGTTGAGAGCCTTTCTTGCTGGGCTTCTAATCAACTGGACATGCATAGCGATGATGTGGCTCGTAGGTATGCATATACATATCTGTAATCTGTCTGACTTTTTCACCCAGTTGCAGGGGTATTGTACAAATTGCAAAACGAGACAGTGCTTGCTACTGACTTGGCAACAGTAAACGATGGTTGAGGAGTGCCTTGGCTTGAAGGTCTTTGCGTGGTGGTGCTTCATCATTGAGCCGCGCGTGCTTTCAACAGAATCTCACTATTGGTCTCCATATGCTTGCGGTAGTGGCAATGCCCCTTCACCTTTCTGCTGATGAAATTTTCAGTGAAGGACTTCAGACTTGGCAAAGTCAAACTTGGCATAGTAAAACTCTCAAGCGGAAAAATGTTTGCTGTTGCGAGCTGCAAGCTTCGACATATGTTCGGAAAGCTTGGATGTTCGTGGCACAACTCTGTCAGCGAAAGGTTTTGGCTCAGACTAGACTCGGCTTGAGTTTGGCTCCAGAGAGTGGCAGCAAACTCAAGTGTTTGCGAAGATTTGCGTTTTGAGTATTTTCTTTTTCCTTTTAATTCCAGAACAGGACGCCCTCAGCGTGAGCGTTTTATGCATTTTCTACGTAATTTATACTATATTACTATCCTGTATTATTCTACGTATTACTATCTTATTATTGTCTTAATGTTAGTTTTGGTTGTTACTTGCTTGTGCTAAGAAGGCTTCAGCATGGCGATTCCCGTTGCATTTGCTGTCTGTGTGACATAGTCACCACCAAGAACAAGAAGCAACAAGTCAATGTCTGAGGGGCAGATCCTGAGACATGGACTTTTCTTTTTGGTGACCATGTCACACAGGGCAGCAGATGCAAAGGGAATAGCCATGCTTTTTAGCACTCATAAAAGCTTGTGTTAACTTTGAAGATTCTCAAACCACCTCTAAATCCTTAATGTATAAAAGCTAGTTCATGTTCAAACAACGAAAAACAACATCTGGAGGTCTCTTTCCTTTGTAGGGTCCATGATTGCATATTTGCTTAACGTGTCAACAGAAAATAGGTTATATCTAGTATCAGGGTAAGAGTTAAGGACGGGTGTCTGATGGAGGTGCAGTGAATCGTGACTTTTGGACATCTTGTAGCTTTCTTGATGTGTTGTTTTTGGAAGGCGAATCGCCTAGCTGCGGGATGTGAATCTTGATGTGCGGATTTCGTGGCAGGCACGGTGCTTTGTGGACCTTGAAGTGCAGAGTTTGTGGGAGGTGCTGTACCTTGTGGACCTTGAAGTGCAGATTTCGTGGCAGGCGCACTTGCAGTGTAGATTTCGTGGCAGGCGCATCACTTTGTGGACCTTATGTGTGCTCAGACATCTCTCTCCATCTCTAGACCTCTAGAAACCGGCGCCTAGATTCTAGGCCTGCACTGGTTTGTGGATCTCCATCCCCTCCACACCACCATCATCACTACCACGTGATCATCACCACCATCATCACCTTAGCCACCATCGCCACCATCATCGCAACCATCATAACCACCATGAACATCATCACCATCACCATCAACACCATCACCGCCATCACCACCGCCATCACCACCGCCTTCACCACCATCACCAACACCGCCATGACCACCATCACCACCAACATCACCGCCATCATCACCACCGGACCATCAACACCATCACCAGCGCCACCATCACCGCCATCACCATCACCACCGCCTTCACCACCACCATCACCACCATCACCATCACCACCATCACCATCACGACCATCAGCACCTCATCACCGCCAGCGCCACATCACCACCACCATCATCACCTCCATCATCACCTTCATCGCCGCTGCATCACCACTGCCATCACCACGATCTCCGCCTCATCACCACTATCACCTCATTCTGGGGCCGAATGCGTCTAGATCTCTAGACCTTCTGCTTCTACACCGCTAGACCTTAGACCTGTAGACACACTGTTGGGGTCTCTTGCTGTCGCAGGGATTTGAGCAATGTATTGTCGAGTCAATTTTTTTTTGCAGTTCATCATCAATAAATTTTTCTTTATACTAATTATGTTTTTAGTTCAAGAAAGAAGGGCTCATTTCGTTGTAGCTTTATGATGCATTATAGTTGATACTGCTATTTTCATTCTTGTTTTAAATCTTGTATCCCAAGCACTGAAGGAGATTCAAACCGTTGGTTCCTTGTCTTGTTTCTCGTGTAGCATCTCTTTTTCCTTCATCGAACAGCGTTTTCTTTTGGAGAACCAACAAAGTATTTGCATTTGGTAAAGACACTGAATATTCTTCAGTGTTGTTTTTTACTATTTTGTGCTTTTAGTTTGGCGTATAAGTTTTAGCTGGCGGGTGCCACATAGTGAACAAGACAAATGCACCAGGCGCGGGTTGACGTGGGGTGGGGGTGGGGGGTAGGGTGGGGCCGGGACAATAGCGCGCCTGTGGCGTTGCGTTCTTCACGTGTATATGTTCCACGCGGGTAACATTTTTGACAAGTTTTTTCATTAGCAGGATTCTTTTCACCTGCGCGGTCTGAACAATATTCTCGTACAAGGCTTGCAGCGTATCTCGTAAAGTTTGTTTTTTATTCAAGATCTCTTGTTCCCTCATTCAATCCTCTGCATTCACGTTTATTGAGTCACCGTTTGATTTTTCCAACTTATTTAGACTTTCTTGACTTATCTTGAACTTTTGCGTTTATACTTTCTATATAAGCTTTCCTGTTTTACTACCGAGATTTTCTTGTATGTATGAGCCTACTTTAGTAGCACCACTAAAACCCTTTTAAGCTGATACATATGTTTGTAATTTCAATATCTGTTGTACCTTTTTTGAAGAAAAAGAAATTTCTTTAAGCAGTTATGGGTTATCATTCGTTGCATTTATATTAAAGCCCTTTTTGTTATATTCTTTCTGATACCAACAAAATTTATCAACATTGACAATGTTAGAAACACTTCTGTTTACTTAATGCGTATGCACTATTTACAGATACGCGCAAACGGTACATGTACACCACAGCCCTTTTTCGGAGTGAAAACAGGAGTGCCGTTTTCTGCATGGTAGCGGAGCCCGCAGGGCTCCTGCTCCTGTGACTTCGGGGCCGCGGCGGGGGGCGCCTGTAAATTGTCTGAAATGTGAGGTGTGGGATCGGCCCACCTTTGAGTCTCCTACAGCTGGACAAGTTCTACAAGCTCCCAAGCCGGCAGCTGGTCATGGGGAGGACTGGTGGATCTTTGTTGCTTGAGGCTATGTCCAATTGCTCGGCCTACAAAAGGGTATGTTGGCACTGGCTTGAGCGAAGAGAGAAATGAGCTTGTGGGTTCAAGGGGCTTGCAGCGGAAACACTCACTACACACAGTGCCAGGCAATGACAAGAAGGCCCTGATCATCCAGAGGTTCCGCAAGTTGAGGCAGATGCTCAAGATTGCTAACAAAGAAGAGGCGCGTGATCCACCGAAGCCTGGCATCAATGCAGTGACAGCGGCTGGGCAGTTCAGCGAGGAGCATGGCAGCTTCAGCAGCTGGATCTTCACTGACCTGGTTTTAGCCTTTCACTGGGTGCTGATTATCCAGGCAGTGATGCTGATGGTCTTCCTGTGGCTCTTTCCGATGATCAATGGGGGCTTGAGCGTGAAGATCGGCAAGACGGTCAAGATTGAAGACAAAGCCATCCAGGCAGAATGGACGGCAAAAAAGTGTCCAAAGGTGTTTTTGTTTGAACTGCCGTGAGGTCTTCCATGTGGACACCAGTTGTCCTAGAGTGGGACAGAGATCCAGAGTCTACCAGATTTTCCGCTTGTGCAGGAGTTGCTCGAACGATGGAAGTGTGAAAAGCAGCGCATCCCCTGTACAGCTTGAAGGGGCGTGCTGACTCATACGTACAAACGGTACATGTACACCACAGCCCTTTTTCGGCACGAAACTAGGACCGCCATTTTCTGCACAGTCCTATTTAAAGTAGAGTGTTAGATGTTCTTTTTTCAAGTTGAGCGGAATATATTGAGTGTGGTGCACTTACTTCAAGCGTATGATATCACAATATTAATGAGGTATATTGTCATATTGATCCCTTTGGATTGATTTCAACATTAACCAAAACACATCAATGGCAAAATTGAAAGAGATACAATAAAACAATTATATATCACTACAACGAAGTAGAGACATCTGAGAAACAAAACAAAACTGCACGCTCACAGCATCCCGCTCTCTTTTTGTATGGGGGGTGGGCCGCTAAGAGCTGGTAGGTTACCACGCATTGCTCACTGGGTTCCTAGTGTTTGTTGAAACTTATCTTCTGGGGCTCGTTTGAATTTTTGTTTCCGGCATACGAACTGTGACAGCGATTCGTTTGCTTGGCTTGGGTTTGTTGTTCGTATCGGTGAGGCATGGCTCCGAAAGTGCTAGGATTTGCAGCACTTGGACTTGCCCCTGTGTTCCTCGCTCCAGGTGCTTCAAGTCTGAAACACAGCAAAGAAGAGCATAGGATGATTCGCAATTGTATAAATCTTACACGAAAGTTGAAGGGCAAATTTATTCGTACAAATAACAGATGCAAATTCAACACGTTGCTTGATGGCATTTTAACATTTGCAATTGCAGGCAAAGTCAGTGGGGTGCCTCGCACCTCTCAGTCCCTCCAGCTCCGTTTTCAACAGTACCGAAAAGAGAATGCATTTGGAAGGTAAATTCTGGAAAATTGAGCAACACCAAACATGGGTTGAAATTCCCTTGGCAATGCTAGGCCTCAAAGCAATGCTGCGCAGGTTTGGTAGATGGAATTTGTGATATTTTTGCAAGGAAATGAGAACTTGCATTAGATCCAACCCATGTTCCACGCTGAAAGGCTCCGCCAAGCAATTCCTCCACTGTGGGCCTCGCTGCAGGATCCACCGCCATTCTGTCCCTAGTGTCTTGGCTTCCAAGGACAAATCACCTTTCAAGGCATTTTTGCGTCGCCCTTTGAGCAGACAACACTGGGTGTGTTTGTTCTCTTTGGTGGCAGTCACAGACTTTGTTGGTCACAAAGGCTGTTGCACGAAAGGGCAAGGCAACCAAGCTGACGAGGAAGCGATTTGTGAAGCACACATCCTGGTTTTGAAGTGAACATGTGATCAACTTGCTTTCTGAGAGATTCTGAGACCGGAGGAATTTCTTCGGAGGCTCATCCACTACCACAAGCTTTGATCCTGCGAAGCAGCTTGGGGTCCAGGATCCGATTGGCTTCTGGGACCCCTTGGGCTTAAGTGCTGACAAAGATGAAGCAACCTTCAAACGTCGTCGAGCAGTGGAGATCAAGCACGGACGTATTGCAAGATTCCGAGACCAGTGCACAGCAGGGAATCTTTTCAAACTGATTTAGCATGACTTCAACACAACCATTGACAACCACAACCATTGACAACCATGCTTGGTCCAGCGTTGTCATAAGTGATTGCATAGTTCTGACTTGACAGAGTCTCACTTACATTTTTGTGAGGCCATGTATGCTACGATGGGGTACATCGTTCCAGAGTACTTCAAATTTCCAGGCTATTTGTCGCCTTCGCTGGGTTTGAAATTCTCAGATGTACCCAACGGGTTGGCGGCTCTATCAAAGCTCTTCGGTAAGCAGACATTACTTAAAGTTTCTTCGATCTGTCAACAGATGCAACAGCCTTGGACAGCTGCACAAATCTGCATCTTGAATTTGCTTTGTGAAGCTTTGAGATTGCCTTAAATTTTGTTTCCTAGGTTGCCAGTCCTTGGTGGAGCTCAAATCATTGCCTTTTGTGGGTTGATTGAGACTACCGGCTTCTTCCAGGCCTCATCTACAACAGATGGCAGAGGTCCAAGAGAGGGGCAATTCGCGATGAAGGACTCTACCGAAGCTGATGAGCCAGGGAACTACGGTGTTGGTTTTCCAACTTTCCTCGGTAAAGTTGAAGACTCAGAAGCACGAAAAAGCAAGCTGAGCGCAGAATTGGCAAATGGACGTTTGGCAATGATGGCCATTATTGGGATGTTTTTCCAAGATGGACTCACGGGTTCTGCTTGGGGAGATTGGTCACTTTATACAGCCTCACCTTTGCGTGCTGAAGCAGAAGTTGAAGAAGCAGCCAAGCCACCGCCGCCTCCTCCGTTTGATCCACGTCTTGAAGTTGGGGTGCTACCTCCTTTGGACTACTTTGCCTGGCACTGAGTCTTTTGGTATTTTTTCAGCGTCTTGAACACATCTTGAACCAAACCATTCAACACATGGCGCTGTGAAGATTGTGATCTTAAGGATCCTGCAGGCTTTTGCAAAGTTGGCGATGAGGCCTTCATCCCACTTTTGTGCTTGTGTCTTTTGAGGGTTTGATGTTTCATGAGGACGGCTTCCGAAATCTTAGAGCTGCTGAAATCAAGCATGGCCGCGTTGCAAGAGACCCAGATCGACCTTCGCCTTTCTCTGTATCGTGCCAGTCATCTTGTCGCAACAGCATAGGAGGATCAAATCATGTAACCATATACAAACACATCTCTCTTTGATGAGAGAGATTGGGATAGCATTTTTTGGCCACAAAAGGCCATGATGGCAGCCTTGGGCGCCTCCGTGCAGGCTTGGCCAATCAGGAGAAAGTTCGCAAGAATGCTTACATCCTGACTTCAGTTTGCAAAGACTTAGTAGACTCGTGCCTCTTTCCATTCTAGCCTAGCCAAGGGTTTTGCATTTTGTCTTGAAATTCATAGGAGCGAACCTGTCAAGAATAGAAAGTTTGGACATCCTTTGAGTTCAACAATGCCCGGTACTCTGACGCTTTCGTGTAAATCGTCCTCTCATTGCCCAGCACTATGCCCAATTTCCTGGTTTTGAAGAAGTCCCGACGGGTATTGGAGCGGTAACAACAGCGCAGCAACCTTGGCTTTTCAAAAAAAACTGTCCCCATCTTGTGCTTTTTTTTTTTTTTTTTCGGAAATGCAATCGAATCAAATATCTTTGATGAAATAGAGTGCTTACCTAGGCCGGGCACCTACGGTTTCGCGGCACTTGTGTTGGTCAGTGGAGTGCTCCTTGGCAGTGTGGTCTTTTCATTTACAGTACAGAAATTATATATATAACGAGTACGAAGAAACTACGAAGAAACAGCTCGAGATGTGATAAAACTGGACCTCTGAAAAAGCTCTCTGAGAGACTCTGAGAAGACAGTGAGAAATCATAAGAAATCACCATGAAATGACTATTGCATACCTGATTGGTTCGCTTTTTGTTAGTCAGGGGGGCAGGGGCCTGAACAAGAGTCTCACCATGTTTCACCTTTACTTAGCAGTTGCTGCACTGGTAGTGCTGCTACCGTTCTTCCAGGTTGGAGTTGGCGCTTTGGACCGAGGACAGCATCTTCAAACTCTAGAAATGCAAGCCTTTATTGTTTCCCTCAGTGCTTGCTTGGTCTAGACTGGATAGCGTACCTTGCACAGCTGGCCTGCCTTAGCTTGTCAACGCATGAACAAGACTGACGAAACGAAAGAAACATGAAAAAGGTCCTGGATGTTTGTGTGATCAGCGAACCATGGATGCTGGCTTCTTGTTTCTAGGGACAGTACAGAGGACTGGAGATTTGTATAGGAGCTTCTGGCGAGTGAGCCCGTAGGCTCTTGTCTTGACTCATGCAATCCCCAGGATCCCAACAAAGAGCCGGGAAACTTTGGAGATCCTTTGAGCTTGGGCCAGTACGACATTGACATGAGGCCGAATGAACACGTGACCATTTGTTTCATGTGTCGAACCTGTCTGTTGGCACATTATTCACACGATGCGCCTCGGGCCAAGGAACAAGGAGCTGAACAACGGACGATTTGCTTCTTGGCTATGGGCATCGAATGCTCGAGCTGAGTTTGGGCGGCGACGATGAATGTCACCACCTTTGTGCCAGGCCATGTTTGCTAGCGTTGGCATCATTCTCGCAGAGCTGTACACAGGGAAGGCCTCAAATGACACCAGAACAGGGCACCATAAGTGGACGTGCATGATTTGTTGCAGGACGGCATTGATCAGATTGGCCTTGACACTCCGACTCTTTGAGCTCAAGTGCTTCCGTACTCGGCAGAGGCTTGTGAGCAATGCAGCTCTTACCTCTGCCATGCATGCATGTGATTTTGTGCAGACAATTTTCATCAATTTTCGCCAAGCAGGTAAATCCTACCTGCTTGTTTGCCCAATTAACAAAAGACAATCGATTTTCATTTGCCAAACGGCCGATAAAGGCGGAACAACAGGGAACGAGAGGCAGATTCGAGATGAGAAGGAACCTTTTCAAAGGCCTTGTTCAGAGAAAAGACAAGTTGTGTGGGGTTTTCGAATGTTTTCGACATTCTACCTCGAGCACATGCAGCTTTTTTGGCTCCAGTGTGCTTGAAGCGGACGCGGCGTTGCAAGGCCCACACAGATTGTTGGACATTCAGACACTTCCAGTTGTGCAGACTTCACCAGGATGGCCAGAAATGGTATGGACGACCTGCTTGGGTTGCACTGCCTCGTCTTGACTTGACTGGGTTCTCTAGTGACTTCTATAGTGACTTCTATATTAATTATTGTGGTCTTGACTGGAATTGAAAGATCTACCATCGACAAGGCCGCCAAGCACTGCGCAGCAATACGGACAGCAGCTTCTTGCTGGCAAACAGGGAAGTCCTCTCATACGAATAGACTCCTCAAAATGCCCCGTGAGGCAATATGTACCGAAGGAGTACTATGCTCCACCTGCAGTAGACCCAGGCACACCAATCAGACTCAAGGCATGTAGCCTTTTTGCAGTGAGTGAAAAAACAGGAGCATTTGACCAACTCCTTTCTTTGAAGTGTTTTTCCTTGATCAATCAAATCTTTGTTCATTGCTCTATTATGCCTTTTGGAATTCCTCTGAGTCCCCTTGCAGGTAAAACCGTGGACTTGTCAGGCGGTGGTGGCGGCTTTGCCACACCACAGCAGCACACTTAAGAAAACGAACGGTGCCATGTCTGAAACCGGTTGGACATCAGTCAAATTCCAACTCCCGGAACCATGCTGAGCATAATGAAGTAGAGAAGTTGGCAGGGTTTCAATGGGTTTGACCCACGTCCAATTTTTGGATTGCAGAACCACAAAATCTACTGTAAATGCATGAGCCCTTTCGGCATCCTAGATGATCCAAACAGACCTGAGGGGTTGATACTGTTGAAATACATCACCTAAAGCTAAGCTTTTACGCACCATGCCAATTCTTGGCTCAAGCAAGCAGCTCATCGCGACAAAAGGAGCGCTAGCAGTTGCAGCTTAGCGGAATTTGACTGTATTTTAGTGGTTGAGCTTGAAAATACAGGTTATCAGCCGTAGCCTCTGCCATGGCTACAGACAATGGTGTGGATGCCGCGCTTGCCCTCATCCCATACACAGGCGATGCTACACCGGCCGCCGGGGGCAACCTCGTGCCCGAAGATGTGGTAATGGGATCTGAAGGCGTCACGGCATACTTCCAGTTCATTCAGAACAACGTTCACCAGATTGCTTCAGGAAATGAGGAAGCCGTTCGCTTCAAAGCAGAGCAAAGGCATCGTGAGATCACGCAAACTACAATTCAAGCCTTAGGTTCGCAATGTAGAGTTGCTATTGATCAGGCGAGAGAAGTCTGCAACAAACAGATCCTGGCCATGCAAGGTCGGATCAACTTGTTAGAAGGACAACTGGCTGAAAGTCAGGCCAAGGTTGCCAGTGCAGACAGCCTACATCAAAAGAGGATGTTAGAGCAGAAGGCAGAAGCGGAGAAACTTCACCTACAGAAGATGAACGCGAAGATGAGTGAGCTGGAGTCTATGTTCGAAAAGATGGTAGAGGACGCGTCTAACAAAGCTAGAGCACTCCTTGAAGAAGAACGTAGGCAACACCAAATCATGGAGACCGAGTGGGCCGAGCAGAAAGAACGTCTTGAACAGGAATTGCGTAAGGCATCAGAAACCAACGCGCTACTGCAAGACCAACTTGATGGAATGATTCCGGCGCACGAGGCTGAAGCGCCGCAACACCTGCCAGGTACGGCAGCACCAGTGAAGTCCGAGCCAGCAGGCCGCGAGGCTTTGCCCCAACCGGTAGAAATCGACTGGAAGGCGAGGCTAGATGCAAAGTTCGCTCAGAAACTCGGTGATTTCTATCCATCAAGAACGACTGCAACAGCACCACATCCCGCAGCGTTGGAGCCTGCCCAAGGTAAGGACGAACAGTTTGTCGATGCTCGTGAAACGGCCGACGAACGGATGTCTCATGCTGGCGATGGAGGAGTCGATGGCAAAGTCCCGGCTTCTTCAGGCGACACCAATGCGCTAATGAGTGGCCTTGCGGAACTACTCAGAGAAATGAAATCCAAGAAAGACGATGAAGGCAAGCCAAGGGTCAAAGAAGCCGATACGATTGCCATACCGGACATGCCCACACCCGAAACTTACCGTCAATGGAAGAATTTGGTACGTGAGCTTGTTCGATCGTCGTCCGACAAGCCCGACGAAGCATGGGGATGGATGATGGAAGTTTGGGATCCGAAACTTTCCCGTGTCGAACTCGAGGCAAAGCTCCAAAATCCAGGAAAGTTCGTGACCTTGGACACGAAGCTCACCGCTGCGCTCACCAAGTCAGCCCGTGGTGACCTGGGAAACAGAATCCTTAATCATAAGGAAGAGCAAGCAAAGAAGGGGAATCAAACCAGAGGTCGAACGGTACTTCTCATGTTTGATGACTACTTCAAAACGTCTGAGGAAGCAGGTACTCTCTACTCACTAGAAGACCTCTTGAAGGTAGCCAAGTTCGGGGATACCATTGCAGACCTCAAGAAATTCATCAATCGTTGGGATGCCGTGTTGGCCGGTATGAAGAAGGAGCCTGAAGAAACAGTCCTTCGCGATGTTTTGCTCCGTCAGATCCGTCCCAGCACGCTACTCAAGTATGACATTGACACCTATGATCGGGCAAAGGAAGGCGATTCGAATAAAACGTATTCGTTCCTTGTGGAAGCCATCCGGGACCTGATCGATCGTGAAAGGCTTAGGGAGAATCGAGACCGAATCGTCGACAAGAATCAACCGAAGCCGAACAATCCCAAAGACAGAGCAGGACTACCTGTCGTGCCCCCAGCAAAGAGGGAGAAGACACCCCCAAGGGGAAGAACTCCTGACAAGAAGAAGATTCCATGTAGGGACTTCGTGACAGGGAAGTGCGCAAAGGGGAAGGATTGCCCGTATCGTCATGACAAGAAGGATAGGTCTCCTTCAAGGCAAAGGACACCTCGTGCTCCCAGTCGTGACCAGAAGAAAAAGCTCAATAAAGAGGAAATGGCCAAGACCCCATGCATCTACTTTGCAGGAGGGGATTGCCGCCGTGGGGACAAATGCCTGTACCTGCATGAAAAGAAGGGTGCAGCTGCTCCGAAGGACCCAGCTCGGCCAAATTCTCCAAAGCCCAAGAAGGAACCAAAGCCGAAAAAGTCGGCTACTCCCTGTGTTCGGTCAAGCTATGCATGCAGCGCCACTCGCCGCAAGCTCGGTTCGTATCGAAGCCCAACAAAAGAGAGGGCAGCACAGTGTGAGAAACATGTCACCTTCGACAAAAGGGTAGGAGTAAAGAAGATAAATCCCTTTGGCCGATGCAACCCAGTCATTCATGGTCCTAGGAAGTATGATGACGTCCTCACTACTGCCGAAGCAGCAAAGAAGTCGGATCCAATCCACGTGTTGAACGCCAAAACGGCAGCCAGAAAGTTGCAAGAGACGGTGAAGCAGTTCGGAAATCGGTTCAACCATCGTGCGGTTTCAATTGTGTTGATGACCTCGAAAGTCTGACTTGCAAGTGTTGTAGGAATCTGCTAGCACCATGCAAGATCAACACTGTGTTGATGCCTCCAACCGTTGCCACGCCTGCGCCAAAAGGTCGCCATCAATGGCTCATTGACTCCGGAAGCGAGCAGGACCTGATCAGCGAGTCTATGCTGTCCCAAGTCGGAGCTTACAATAGGCGTAGCACGGAACAACCGATCAGCTTCATCACAGCAAACGGCTCAACGCAGTCCGAGGCAGTTGCAGAAATTGATCTCAATGCACTGCCAGGGTCCATTACTCCATAAATACTAGAGCAAACACCGTCGGTCCTTTCGGTTGGTACCAGATGCATGGACCAGGGGCAGGATCATCACCGTTCCTTGTTCGTCCAGACGGAAAAGCAGTTGTCCTGAAAGTTGATGGCCATGTTCCCATTTTGGATGATTCATGTCCGATTGTCAGCACAAAGTCCTTCAAGCCAGCCAAGGTCCGCAAGCTTTTAGCTTTGCCCGGCGTTTCAAAGTCCATCAGAGATGAAGAAGAGGGAATTGATGAAGGTGTGAACCCAGATGACGAGGAGGTAGTAGCGGTGAGGAGCAAAAAGTCAGCCGACCTCATCGTCGAAGCCCAATCGTCCAAGCACCAATTTCTTCACTTTCCCAAGAATCCATTCTGTCGTACGTGCCAAACGGCGCGTATGCTTGCGCCATATGCTAGGTCCAAAGGCGGACAAGCAAGGGTTGACACGACTCGGTTCGGAGACCACATCATTGCCGATCACGTGCTCATCAAAGCAAACGTAGAAGAAGGCATAAAAGGTGAGAAGGTCGCGTTGGTCATCAAAGACATTCATACGCAGTTCCGGTATGTGTACCCAAGCCAATCTCGATTTGCCGAAGACTGCACCTTTGCCATCAATCACTTCGTCAACGGAAAGGATGATGTTGAGGTGATCTACACGGACAATAGTCGGGAATTGAAGGCCGCTATTAAGGAACTTGGCTATAGGCATCAAACATCGATAGAGTACGTGGACTCCAGCAAATCGTTCGTGGAACGCGAGATACGACAAATGCTGGAAGGAGCTCGATCCAACCTTGTCCAAGCAGGGATGCCTTTGTGCATGTGGCCGATGGCGATGCAGCATTTTGCCATAGCTGTCAATGCCAACCCGCAGTTGTCAGGGGGGGAAAGCCCATGGTCGTTGAGGTTCGGTTCGGAGTTCGACGGAATGTGCATTCCTTTCGGTGCCAAAGTGTTATTTTGGAATAACCCGGATAGGGCAGACAACACCGCCGGCAAGCTTTCACCAACCTCAAATGAAGGCTTATTTTTGGGATATCGCACTCAGCCAGGTTTTGTGTGGAGAGGGGAATATCTTGTCACGAAGCTTGAAGCCATTGACTATCATTTGGAGCATGGCAGCGTTGTCATTCAACGCACCAAGGGATTGGAGTTGCCCTCTGAAACCCATGTGTTTCCGTTGAAAGCAAAAGCAGACAGCCTTGAGCCACCTCCAGAACCAATAGCTGATCGTGTGATCCCTCCTGTACCTGATCCGATCATTCCACAACAGTCTGAGTTAGAGTACACACCATCCATGGCACCAGACCCCGTAGAGGAACCTGCCCAGGAGAAGGAGCCACCTGTTGACGTCGAGATGAAGAAGTCCAGTGCTGAGCCTCGTGAACCTGGAGAGATGATGCCCGACGGGTCTATTGTGCCGGATGGTTACCACTATGACGGAGTAAGGCTTGTAAAGACCTACAAAGGTTCGAAGCGGCCACGGAGCATCCCTTCAGAACTCTGGAAGATGATGGGTCCAAGGCAAAGGGAAAAAGCAATCCGTGAGGAAGAACAAAAGAAGGACGAAGGAGTCACCAGTTCCTCATCAAAAGCCGCATCGACGCTCCAGTCATCTGGTAGCCAATGGGAGGTGCTCCCAGCAAGAAAGAAGGTATTAACCGACGAGTCTTTCGCAGTTCCCTGCATGCCCAGAACCAGGGGGGCCGTCAGTGAAGCCCACCGACAGCCCATTCGGCAAATGCTTGAACAACACATCAAGCGCCTCGAATTCAAGCAGGACATCGAGATGTGGGCAGCAGTGGCGAGGCTCGTTTCCAAAGAAGAAGTTGCGAGGACACCAAAAGCAAAAGAAGCACTTGATCTTGAATGGAACAAGCTCAGAACGAAAGGTGTATGGGATGAGAAGCTCGTCCGTGAACTTCACAAGATTGTTCAGGAGGCTCGAAGAAAGAGTGAGAAGGTTCATCTGGGCAGAATATTCGAGGCCTGTTATGAAAAGGGTTCAGAATTACCAGAGAACGACCCCAGAAGAAAATTCAAAGGAAGAACAGTATTCCAGGGCAATAACGTGAGGGACGAGAACTCAGACCACGCACTATTCGCTGAGCTAGGCTCTAGCCCCGCCTCGATGGAGGCCGCCAAGATTTTGGATGCCTTTGGTTGCCAACCAGGGTATGGGAAAGAGCAGGCAGATGCAATACAAGCATATGTTCAAGCAACCTTCAACGGAATCCCAACATGGCTTGAACTACCTCGCAATAGGTGGCCAAAGGATTGGGAAGAAAAATATTGGAAACCCATGGTCCCAATGGTTTTAGCATTGTACGGACACCCTGACAGTGGGGGAATTTGGGAACAACATTTGAACGCCAATCTAGCGAAGAAGGGATGGCGCCAGATCTTGCCTGAAATGTGGCAGTCGATCTTCAGGCACGATGAGTTGGACCTCATCCTGGTGGTATACGTCGATGATTTCAAGATGGCAGGACCCAAAAGGAACTTGGCTAAGGGCTGGGCTGGTATTCGTTCGGTTGTTGATCTGGGCGAACCAGAGCCCTACGACAGGTACTTTGGGTGCATGCACGTTGAAAAGAATGGTGTCAAACTTCCTGTCAGTGCTCATCCATTTGCACACGTGTTTGACCCGCAACGCGCAAGCGCATGCTCTGCACAGATCCATCGAAAGAATGACTATTGGGAGCATGACCCGAACCATCAAACTTGGACGCGCCACCACCTGCAACCAAGGAAGAAACTCTTCTTCCCCGGTGATGAAGGGAGCCAGTTCAACGGTTCAATCAAGTCTAAAAGGACAACAGTGTTCAACGCAGCTGTGATCATCAATGACGGTTCACTAAGCGCAACGAACACTCGTTTGCCCAAAGAGCGAATCGCTACTTATGAAGACGACTGGACTCTCAAGAACCCAAACATGAAGACTGATATCTTTTGGACCGGCAAAACTATTTTTCATTATGGTGACAATGAGCCCAATGCAGCTGCGCCATCGAAGAATCGGCCAGGTCCACATCGATCAAAGCGGGAGGCTAAGAAGGAGGCAAAGGAGCAGCGCTTCAAGCCGATCGAGAGTGTTGTGCCGAAGCCTGCTGGTTGCATGACCAAGCCCGTGAATCTTGTGAGGTATGATATGTCATCTTTCCTCGAATCATGTGTTGAAGCTTACTGCAAATTAGCTCAAGTCAAGCCAGAAACACTCAAGAAGAGCTACACGCCATTCACGGAGCACGGTATTCCGAAACCAACGCTCTCTGAGAAAGAGGAGCCCGGAAGACTGCAGCCTATTGCCAGTAAAGTCCTTATGAAAATTCTCTTTGCAGCCCGTATGGCCAGGTTCGATTTACTCCGTGCCACTCAGTCACTTGCATCGAGAGTAACGAAATGGTCGATCGAATGCGATGTAGGATTACATCGACTGGTATCCTACATTCATCACACCAAGGATCAATACTTGGAGGG